AGAAGATGACAAAGGTGCAAAGCAGAGCATATGTATGTAGATGTGGAGACATTTCAACCAACTTTACTAAGTAAAATACATATTCATTCAGCTACCGCAATGGCCCAATCGCATCGCAATAAGAACACGCTACTTTCACCTTCCAGGATCACGAGTAGCCACTGTGCTGGTTATTAGTCGTGGTGTATCCATCCATCCATCACAATTCACACACGATAACGACGCCAAATGGCACCAGTAAAAGAAAACCAAAATGAGCAGCTAATAAACTGCAGGCGTTAACCCCGGATCATCATACATACACAATCGTCGCAGTGCCACGGCAGCCGGGACGGAGAGCTTTCAGAAGGCGTGGAGGACGTCGGGCTGGGCCGCGGCGGATGTGGAGAGCATGTGGACGACCTCGCGCATGGTGGGCCGGGCCGTGCTGGCCTCCTCCACGCACGCCATGGCCACCTTGTAGAGGTCCGCCAGCAGCGGCACGGGCTCCGGCGCCAGGCGCCGGTCCGCCACCGCCAGGACGGGCTCCGCCGCGGCGGTGGCGTCCAGGGAGCTCCGCAGTCACCTTTGCGCACCCAGTGCACGATGTCCACGCCGTCGCCGAAGCTGCCCACGGGGCGGCGACCCGTGATGAGCTCCAGCAGCACCACGCCGAAGCTGTACACGTCGCTCTTCTCGTCCACGCGCAGGGTGTACGCGTACTCTGCATGCGAGACGGATGGATCACACGGCTTGTAGCACATCAGTTTGAAGTAATTGCAGTTTTCTTGTGAGTAGTGTGCGGAATTTGAATAGATCATGATCAGAGTTTACTGTGCCTAAGAGATCAAGCCTTGCCACATCCATGCACATGTACTCCTACATCAGTATATACAGTACCACTTCACCCCAGCCCCAAAAAGCAGTAGTTTTAAATTTGAATTAGATTAAACTTATTTAAGCTTTTAACCAAGTGTATACAAAATATTATCAATGTACATGTGGGCAGATAAATTGCAAAAAATACATTTCATAATTAGTAAGACTCTTTTGCATTGACGGACAGAGCACTGAAAGAGTGAAGCCGACAAGTTTATGAGGGACCTGACAAGTCAAACATGTGGGCAGATCTGCTCCAGCCAAGGAGCCATGGATGGAAGGAAGCTCTTAAACCCTGTCGGATCAAGCTAGCTGCATGAAGGGCCCACAAGGATACACAAACAAACCAACAGCACGAGCACTAAACCCGAAAACCCAAATCCTGTGTGTGATCCCAAGGCAGGCTTTTTGTCCCCATTGATCTCCACATATCTGCTTTCTAGGACATGCCAAATCCACTGTATCTATCTCCAGTGTCGCCACACTTGTACAGCCTTGCATTGCAAACAGTGAGTTTGGACGCGTGGTTTGCAGTGAGTTTTGTTACCTGGGGCGATGTAGCCGTGAGAGCCGGCGATGGCGGACATGCACTCGGACGTTGGCGCCGCCGCCCGCGCCGCCGAGGAACTTAGCGAGGCCGAAGTCAGCGACGTGCGCGCCTCGAAGGTGGAATCGAGCAGGATATTGTTGGACTTGACGTCGCGGTGGATGATCCTGGGCGCGCAGTCGTGGTGCAGGTAGCAGAGGCCGCGCGCCGCCTCGACTGCGACGCGCGCCCTGGCCTCCCACACCGAGGTGCTGGCCCTTGCCGCCGCCAGCATCTCGCCGAGGGAGCCGTTGGGCGCGTACTCGTGAGCAGCAGGTTGGTCTCCCGGTTGGAGACGAACCCGAGCAGGCGCACGATGTTGCGGGTGCCGGATGCGGCCCAGCGTGGTGACCTCCGCCGTGAACCCGCGGTCAATGGTCGCCGCACCCTCTCCCCACGAGCCGCTTTATCGCCAGCTCGGCGCCGCCGCGGGTCGTGCCGTGGTACACGATCCCCGCGCCGCCCTTTGCCGATGATGTTGTCCTCTTTCAGGCACTCCACCACGTCGTCCGCCGAGAAGTCCAGCTTCTGGAACACCGTCATCTTCCAGGCTCCCGACCGCCGCCGCGCCGCCTCACGCCACGCCTCGCGCGCCATGCGCGCGCCAGGATGGCCAGGACCAGGAGGGTGAGGGGAGGACGAACAGCAATACCAGCAGCTTCTTCGAGTCCCACGGACGCAGAGAGAACAACGAACGCGCGCCGCCGGAGGAAGGAGGGCACGCGCGCCGCCGGCGAAGGGCGCGCCGCACAGCCCCGGTTGCCGACGAACGAGCTCTCGTTGAACACCAGGAACTGGCCCTGCATCGGCACGGGGCCCCACAGCTGGTTGTAGGACACGTCCAGCGTCGTGGAGGCTCGTCATGTTGGACATCGCCGGCGGCAGCTCTCCCGACAGCCTGTTCCGAGACACGTTGAGCGTGCACAGGATCTTGAGCGACGTCACGGTGTCCGGTATCTCGCCAGGTGAGGCTGTTCCGGCTGAGGTCGATGGCGCCGAGGAGCCGCAGCCCATGAGCTCCCTCGGGATGCCGCCCGTGAGCGCGTTGCCGCTGGCGTTGAGCCTGGTGAGGTTCCTGAGCCTGCTGATCTCCGGCGGCAGGGGGCCAGAGAAGTTGTTCGACTCCAGGGACAGCGTCTGCAGCGCAGGGAGGTTGCCGATGGCGGTGGGGATGCGGCCGCCGATCCCATTGTTCCCCAGCATGAGCATGCCGATCTTGTCGCCGGCGACCACGTCCGGGAGCTGGCCGGTGAGCAGGTTGTCGGTGAGCTCCAGCATGTTCGCCTGGGGAAGGTCGAAGAGCCCGGCCGGGACAGGGCCAGTCAGCAAGTTCTTGCCGAGGCGGACGCGCGTGAGCGTCTTGCAGTCGCCGAGCGAGTCCGGAATGCTGCCGAAGAAGGCGTTGTCCATGAGCACGAGCAGCTGCAGGTTCCGTCCGGCGCAGAGGTCCGTCGGTATGGTACCGGTGAGGTGGTTCCCGGTGACGTCCAGCGTCTTCAGACGGCCGTTCCTGCCGAGCGCGGGCGGGAGGCTGCCGGTGAGGTTGTTGTCCCACACCTGCAGCACCTCGAGGAACGGGAACTCGCCGACGAACTCCGGTATCTCGCCGCGGAGGTGGTTCCGGAAGAGGTTGAGCAGCGTGAGATTGGTGAGGCCGGCGAAGGTGGCGGGTATCTCGCCGCTCAGGTCGTTGATGGAGAGGTCGAGCGACTGGGGCTGGTGAGCGCGCCGAGCTCCGGCGGTATCACTCCCGTGAGCTGGTTCATGGCGAGGAAGAGCGTGTCGAGGCGGGACAGCCGCGCGAGCTCCGGCGGATGGGCCCCGTGAGCGCGCAGCTGCTCATGTCGAGGCGGACGAGCGACTGGAGCGCGCTGAACTTCGGGCGGCACCCCACCGCTGTACTGGTTGTAGTAGCCGAGGTACATCTCACGCAGGCGCGTGAGGCGGAGAGCGACGGCGGGACACGGCCCGACAGCGCGTTGCCGTTGAGCCCCAGGTACTCGAGCGCGGCGAGGTCGCCGAACGAGTCCGGGATGGAGCCGTTGAAGTAGTTCCCCGCCGAGGTGGAGGTAGCGGAGGGTGCGCGCGTGCGCGCGCCAGCGGCGGGAGCAGGCCCGACAGGTTGTTGTTGTAGACGTCGACGAAGCTCGAGCGCCGGGAAGTACGGTATGGAGGTAGAGGCGGAGGGCGGAGACGGGAAGGGCCTGCTGAGGTTGTTGTTGGAGAGGTTTGAGGTGGCGGAGCGCGGGCATAGAACGCGAGCGCGCGGGGGAACGCGGCTGCGGACCGAGCAGGCGGCGACGGGGTGAGGCTGGCGAGCGCGTCGAGCAGCGCGACCTCGGGAGGGCGCGCGCCGCCGTGGAGCGGCACGGCCGTGAGGTTGATCGCGACGACGCGCGACGTGGCGGCGTCGCAGGTCACGCCCGTGAAGGCGCAGTGCGCCGGCGGGGTCGCGGTCAGGGTCCCAGTCGGACAGCGCGGCGGCGGCGGAGGTGGAGTTGGCGGTGGACGGTACGAGGACGCCTTCAGCCTGGACAACGCGTACGCGTCCTGCTCCGGCGTGGCGGAGGCGGGGGCGGCGGTGAGCAGCAGGGAGCAGGAGGAGGCAGAGGGAGGATGGGAGGAGGCATTGTGGTTGTGGTGGCTGTGGACGGGCGCGCAGTGGTGGCGAGGCGGACGTGGTGGTGGTGGATCATGGGATAAAAAGGAGCGGAGGGAGGGGACGGTGGTGGTGGTGGTGGTGGTGGAGGGAATGAGCATATGGAATGGAATCCGCGGCGGCAGGGGACCAGGACGGGTCGGAGGGGACATGACGGGCGCCATCAATTTGCTCTCTAATTGCTTGCAGACTTGCAGTGGTTCCAGGGCAAGAGACGCGGGCGAGTAGAGCATCCATTGTTCCATCCCATGCACAGGATGGCAACGCGACAGTTTCGGGGTCGATATCCACCGCGGGTTTCGGGTCTCGCGGTTCGGATTCGAGATAATTTCTCACCACGGTTTTCGGGTTCGGGCCCCAAAACTAATCGGTTCGGTTTTTCACCCGTGGATATCCAATGGATATCCAAAATAAATCATTTGGAATTAAAACTCATGTTTTATAATATGCTAATAATAACTTGTTTATTTATATTATTAAATTTACTCTAAGTTGACTCATTGAAAATATTTATTATTTGTTGCCTCTTATTTATACATGTGAATATGTGTATATATATCATGCATATGTTTATGAAAAGTCCTTGTTTCTCTTACTATGTTTGTCATACAAAGCGGGTTTCGGATATCCATCCGGTTTGGGTATTCGTAGGTTCGGTTTTGAGGACTGATTATCAATTCGAATCGGTGTTGACGGATGGTTTTGGGTTTAATTTCGGTTGAGTTCAAAAGTACATAGACTAATTCGATCCCATGACCGCCTTGCTTGCCATCTAAGTCCATAGTCAGAGAGTAGCAAACACTGCAATTGCGTTGGAGGTGACTTTGCCCAAAGATTACAACCATTCTAGAGCGTGGAAAATGATATGATTAAATCGTATCGGTAGTAACTGTTAAGTCGTGATATCTTATTATTTCTCCATGATAAAAGCAGATTGTCGATCGACTTATAATCCACGAAAACGATGAAATAGAACGGGACACTAAAAATTGGCTTAAAGCTAGATGCATGAACAGGTTGAGGACGCCATGTGTGGTTGTGCAAAAGGAGGATGTGAATGAATTCCCAGAATTGGCAGCAACTTTCCGTTCTTTTTTTTCCAGAAAGGATCATGATGTGAAGATCATCGTAAGGAAATTTCAATGGTCTTTGTGTTGTCGCTACGGCATCGCTCTCTCTCTGCATGGCTTTCTTTCTCCTGTGTCCCGTGTGATGACCAGAAGAGGAAAAAAAATGGCTCGTGCCTCGTGACTGGTCCCTGCTGGTCCCACTTCCAGGCAGGCCTCAAGCTCAAACGTGACCACGCACATGTCTGGCTGCATATCTGCATGCACATGTACTGTTGCGTTACTGCTCCGTTGATCCGTTCGTTCGTACTGGAGTACCACTAGTACACTACCACTGCCACGGTACCGTACGTAATGTACTCCGGTACACCGGTACGAGTCAAAGTAACGTCTCGTCTCTTGCTGTGGTGCGGCACATGTGCTGATGCATCCACGATCCATCTAGCCCACCTCACAGCCACAGATTTGATTTCAACGTTCATTCAGGCCCTTTGGATCGTATGAAAACAGCATACAAACATAGGGAATTTTCTTCAAGTTTTTTTAGCGATCAGGTCTTATACCCGTTTTTCATTAAGAGGAAAGGCAAAAAAAAAAGGCGGAACACGGATACAAAAGACTCATTAAGTAATCATAGGATTATCAAGCGGAATCCAAAAACACAAACAACACAAAGAAAATACACAGGGTGGGGGAACCTCACCTCAAAACACTAACCGATTATGCTCGCAAAAGAAAAGACATCCTGGCCAAAGTAATGGTCGCCAACCGGAGGGGGGTTGAAGTCGTGAGTGGCAAAGCATCCATCAGTAGATCCGCAAGGCGACCGTGTAGCCGATTCTGAAGAAGAAGAATCGAATCCGCCGACCGGGTGCAGCCGGCAAGTAGAAAATGACACTATCCGCTAGCGACCGTGGTGTCATTGCGGCAGAAAACAACATTATCCACCGGTGACGAGGTGGCGCGGTAGTAGAAAACGACGAGATCCGCCCGGCGACACGGTAGCCGCTATAAGAAATAAACGACTACTAAGACAACACCAACACCCGAGGGGATGCACCAAAGTGAAGAGGAAGCTAAAGCACGTGCGGACACAATACAAGCGGCTCCCTACAGATGGTGGCCGACAAACGAAGCCTCCAAGAAGGAATGATCGCGTCACACCGCCAACAACGTTGAAGAGGGCACAAGAAGGACTTTTCGTCCCGAGCGGCCCCAAACGACCAGCCGAACGAACTAATTGATCCTTCGACGACGCCTTTAGGAAGGTGGATGACGCAAGTTATACGCCACCCATCGCCGCCCTAAGCAAGAAGCGGGTGGGTTTTCACCGAGAGCTTGTTCGACTGTCAGCCGGGGTGTCTGTTGGCCATCGCCGTCCCCCGAGGCGGCCATACGCATGCCATGGCCAGCAGACCCACCCGCACGGCCCGACCACGTGCGCGCGGATGGATGGGACACCGGTAGCACGACGTCTCACGCGAGAGCCGGAGCGCCGCTCGGGGCGCTCCGCGACCATGTAGCTCCTCACGCACTTGAGCAAAACACGACAACGCCTTACCGCCGCTGGAAGCCACGAGAGGCTTGCCGCTCCACAGCGTCGGGGTGCGTGGGCTGGAACCAGGCGCCCACGCAGCGGCGGATGTCCGAGAAAAGTGTATGAGGCGCCCAGACGCGACCTCCATGGATCCGCCACATACCACGCCGTGCCACAGGCTCACATGGGCCCACGATGCATATGCGTAACCGGGCCCACTGGCCACCAAAGGACCATCCGCCGCCGCCGCCAACCGCATCCGGGCGAATCCACCGCAGCACCCACAAGATCCGGGCGAGGCGCGAGATCCGGCCATGGAGGGCCCGATCGCCCCACCATGCCAATCGGCAAAGGCCATGGCTGGTCGGGGATCCGCCCGCCACCCATGGCGGAGATCCACCACGCTTTTTATAAGTCGTCTTTTCGGCCAATGAATAATATATTTCTCTCATAATAAATGAGCCGACTAGAGAAGTGAAAAGTGAAGAGGGCAGTAGTGTGCCACCGGTGCTGCAGCGTACGTTCAGCGATAGTAGGATCATGCTGCTGGACAAGAATATGGGAAGGGCGGACGTAGCAGGATATCTGCAGGCAAGGGTGCATGCCTCAGCTCAAACGTGACCACGCGCCTGCTGTTGCGGTTACCGCTCCCTTGATCGATTCGCACTACACTTCCACTGCCAGTCTGCCACGGTAATGTACTACAGTACTCCGTATGCATGAGTCAAAGTAACGTCTCGTCTCTTGCTTGGTGCTGCACTTGTGCTGATGCATCTAGCCCACACCTCACAGTCACGGACTTGATTTGGATTTCAACGTTCACATTCAGGCCTCTTGGTTGTGGGGGAAAAAATCCACCAAGCCTCATGTCCTTTGCTTTCTAATTTCCCTGTATCTCCGTAAATTGCTGTATTTTTTCATTCCTTTATATGCATTTCTATTCCACTCTAAATTGCTGTATTCCTGTATTTCTGTAGTATCTCTGAAACTGCTGCTGAGCAAGAACAAGGGAAGGAAGACGTAGCAGGATCAACCAAGGACGCTCTCGATCAGTTGCTGCCATTCGGTTTCTGGCGAGGCGAAGCAGAGCACCACGGAAGCGAGGGCCAGTCACATGGGCGTCTTCACAGATTGACGAAGCAGGGATGGCGCTGCCTGCCGGCTGCTGTAGCTCCTGTAGTCTTTTTCTTTCTCCTTCCTCCCCCTCCTCCATTGTCCACTCTCCATTGCTTCCAGCAGATCTGCCTTAGTAACTGTGCCCCTGCCTCTGCCCAGGATCAGGACGAGAGGAGAGCGGTGAAAGGTCGTCGTCTTCACGATCCATCCACTCCTACCAGCAGCGCTGCTGCAGCAGCAGGAACTGCCCCGGCGCAGCCGCGCAGTGCACGGCTCCGGGCAGGCGGCCACCGCCAGTCCGCCACCTGCATGCACGCAGCATGCATGTGTGCTACGGCCGGCTACTACGGCAGGGTGCAGGGACAGGGAGTGGGTCTCCTGCCTCCTGCCATAGACGTACCAGTGGCTAGCACCGTGGCCAGAGTTGCGCGCTAGCCCAGCCCCCACGGCCCCACCCCTGAACGGCTGAACTGCTTGGTCGTCGCGTAATGCCAAAGCAAAGCACCAAGCCGGGCAGCCGGCCGCCGGGGCCGGCTCGCTCGCCTCTTCCTTCATCCACGACAGGTTGACCGACCTGCCGGTGCTGTTAGTAATAAATACTTGTCTCCATCTGTATTTACTTGCCAAGAACTTTTTTACTGTAGAATTTGATCATCTATTTTTTTCTCTAAAAATCTTAGATACTTCTAATGATATAACACTAAATGAAGTATGTTCAATAAAGAATTATATATGTGAAACTTGATGTATCTAAAACTTGATGTCAAAATTGCTACAATAAAAATGCGAAAGCAGTAAACGAAAACGGAGGTAAGTATAAAACAAAGTGTGCAAGAATAACCGCTGGATACTGGAGGTCCAAGACCAACATCAGCTGCTACCGCATTAAGAGGAATATTAACCTGAAAGAACATTCGTCTCCCACTTCCTTCTGCTCTCCATTACAGTTCCCCTTTAATTAATATATACTACTAACAAATAATGATCCTCTATCAGCATGATGATCCGCGGGCGATGGACAGAAAGGCTAGCTGCTGCTCATTGCCATTCATGTGCCGCTAGCTATGAGTAGTAGTGCATGGATGCATGGCAGCTGCTCTGTTTGTCTCTTTGTTGCAGCAAAGCCTGGGCACCTTTTGTTGCTCTCAAGTCTCTTTTGCTCTGGCCTTTGGCACAAGTCAAGCACTAAACAATGGCCGGTCTGGTGGGAGGAAAGAAGAATCGAATAGCACAAGTGACAAATGTACTAGCTTTGGAGCTTGGGTGGTGTTAAAGAAATGGAAGAAAAGCGTCGTTCATCCATTGCGAATTTGCAAAGTTGCAGAATTGCAGTGCTGCAGCACGGGGGAAGGGGAGATTGGCCGACCGGTTGATTGATTGAGTTGCCGTGGCAGTGGGTGCGCGTGGAGACGAGAACAGATGAAGGTACTACTATCTCCTTCCCAAAAGGAAAGATGTAATTATATTTTTTATGTTGAGTCAAACTTTTCAAATTCTGATAAAGTTTAGAGACAAATATTAATACTTATGAATCTAAGTAATGTTCTATCAAAATTATTCCAGGATTAACCTGATTATACTTGTTTGGTATCGTAAATGTTATCGACTTTTTTTTATATATAGATTTAGTGAAATCTATAATTGTTTGACTCATCAAAATGCTATTTTTAGATGGGAGAGTAAAACTCATGCATCCCAAACTCATGGTCCTGCTTGCTGCTCTGCTGGCAAACACTTTCGCTTTGTTAGGCCTCTGCATCTGCGCTTGTGCTGATGATACGTTCCACTACTCAGGACCTGAAACGAATTCACCGTGGAGTGCGTTTGTGCAGTGCCGCGAACATGTTCCAAAGCAGGCGGAGCGGAGGACCTGTCGTCCTGCCCACAACACCACCATTCCATGCTTATGCTTATCCACTCCTTGCCCTGCTGCACCTCCATCCGGGCGTCTAGCGCAGAGAGGCTAGAGAGGTTCACTTGGCATCATCAAACTAACATGACCATGAGCAAAACACATGGCAATTAACCAGTAACCATATAGCAGATCTATTCAAGTCGCCAGAAAATTACGCAAGTAAAATGACATGTACCGTGACCTCAGTTTTCTTCCGGTCGGTAATTGCCATGAAGCTCTACGTGGAAGCCCAAAATAAATACTTCCTGGATTCCGCCTACTCATTTACCTCTCTAACGGACGGCCCAACAAGGCTTGGCCCAACTTAACTTCCACCAGCCATCAGGAACCCGAGCATCGGACACTGCCCGCAGCGCCCTCTGTTCTCCCTCTCGTTTTCCCACAAACCCTAGCAGTCGGCGGAGGCGGCGGCTGTCGGCGGACAGCGCGTCGGCCGTTGGCGCGAGGCGACCGCGAGCACAGGGCTGCGGGGCGCGGGCGGGCCGCACCCGTCGTGGCCCGTCGCGCGAGCTGCCACTGCAGCCTGCAGGGCTACTGAACTGTGAAATTCAATATGTAAGTTAAAATTTGTTCAGTTGTCTTACCAATTTTCCATTCAATATATTACTGATTGCAATTAGTGAAATAGAATCAATACGCTGAACAATTGGTACTTTTTATATGTTAAACAATTTTCAAGTTATACTTATGGAAGAATGCATTAGTATATGTTATATCTGCTGTATATTATATAATACAAAAGTTCGGCACATATCCTGCCGATCGTTTCCAAAAATAAAAAAGCCACAGATATTAAGGTTGTAAAAATAAAAGATGGCCCTTCGCAATTCAAATATCCAGCCTCAAAATTCTGGACCTGCCTACCCTTGTCAAGTTTTAGCTACGCATAGCAACTTGATAAAGCCTGTGGAACTACAATTTCACATCGATGACTTCATTGCGCCTCCTTGCCTAGATTTCATGTTAATATAAGACATCTACCTTTCGTGTGTGTTTACGCTTTGTTCCTGCTTGTCCTTGATACATCGCTCCTGTTGCAAATGATGGTTCATTTCATTCGCTTTAACCTCCAGTTAACACTGTTTTTGCCTTCCTTTCCCGTCCAATCTTTTTTTGCCTGCAGAACACAGCGATGGACGGACAGCCAGGTGCTGCAACGGCGAGTCTTGGTCCGAGAGTAAAAGCAAACCTGGTTCTTGGATCTGAATCGTTTGCTATCAGCCCCGAGTCCGGTATGCTGTCAGAGCAGTTGGCTGCGATGAAGGAGAAGAGCATGGCGATCCTCAAGGAATACATCACCAAGCACAATGCTCCAAACGATGTCCCTGACGAGTCTGTTGAGGGTGAATCTGATGGCGAGGGTGAAATGCTTGTCAACAACCCGCCAAAGAAATCTAAGAAGCAGAAGTGACCATCCTGAACTTGGTCAGATTTATTATTAGGCAAAGCTAGTGTATCTCCAGTTATGCCTGTGACACAGGAAGACCAGAATTGTTGTTTGGCACGTGTTGCTTGTGTAAGACCAGATTGTTGTCAGCCACAATATGCAGATGTAAACACTTGCTGTTCATACCATTATCATGCAATTCTGCCTCGTGTTCAGATTTTCCTGCCCTGCATTGACAAAGGGTGCTCCTCTCATCCGTGTGCTGCATATGCGTAGATTTCTAGCAGAATATGTAGCAGAAACGCAACCATACTATTCTATGAACTCCGGAGTGAATTCAGTTACATGCATAGATATAGAATATATGGGGTTAGCGGTTAGCCTATTCATGGACCTGACTAGTCTGTATGGTGTATGGTCAAGAGTGCCGATGATCCAGACGGCGGCTGGATAAACTGGCTGAGTGGCGACCAAGCAATGAAGCAACTGAAATGGTGACTCTGATAGCCCTTGGGTGAAACTGAGTCTGAAAGTAAACTTTGAGGACTAAAACGAAATTCAACCTCAAACTATAGTGAACAACTATTCCTCCAGTTTTTTTTTTTTTTTGAGCGATCCTCTTAGTTGGGAGCCAGGCGGGCCCAAGGTCTATCGATAGCAGACTTCAGTACCGGATCGGACCGAATGGTTTAACCAGCAGCCCATGAAATAGTAGTTGGGCCGTCAACAGCAGTCAGCCGGCGCATCATACTGGAAGGCCCATCCTCCTTCCTCCCACGTCCGCAGCTGCCATCTCTCCGCTCGACTCCGCCTCTCCCACACTCCCCAGTCCCCAATCCTCCCGCCGCCGGCCGTCGCCCGTCACCGTCAGTGACTCCGCCAGCCGCCGGTGCCTCATTTCCTCCCGACGTTGCCGTCCCTCCACCGCCTCGGTCCTCAGCCTCTTCCCCGTTGATCTCCTTCCCCACGGGCGACGGCCATGGTTTGTCTGCTCTGCACCTGTTATTCTGTTAATCTGTTATACGTGCTAGAATTTCACCTATGAGTTCGGTATCTTCCAAAAAAAAAATTTGCAGCACAATTACCTGTTCCTAGCTTAGCTAGTTAGTGTAGTGATGGAGAGCTACTTCTGGTTCGGCATGTATATCAGTAGCTAGTAATAGTTGCGTGGCAAGTATTTAACGTGTGTGTAAATACGTCTTCACATATTTACACACACGTTAATTACTTGCCATGCACCTCACGTTACACGCTTTAGGTTGTTGTCACGTTACATATTGTTTTGGGGTAGTTAGATATAGATAGATTTTTCACTCTATATCATATTTTCCAAAATATAATATAATAACTATATTTATCTATTACTAGCTAGCTTTATATCTATATCTGTCTATACCTAATAAATATATTATTAAAGGTGAAAGGTTTCTTTCGTCCTGTTTTTTTACTTCCAAACTACCCTTTGCACCCTCCATATTCCGTATGTGATTAGGATTCATGACCTACTTATATGAATTAGAACAACTCACAAGTCACAATCAATAACATGGAGTCCGATTTTTAAGACGTATTAGGTTCCATGCAAAGCGACATTGCGAGCAAGTTTGCTAGTATCTTAAAATATAAGAGATTTATGTTTGTCCTAAGTCAAACTATCGTAAGTTTGATCAAGTTTATAAAAAAGAATAATCATCTACAATATGAAATGAGCATTAGTAAATATATTATGAAATATATTTTCATAATTTTTCTCTTTGATGTAGTAGATGTTAATAGTTTTGTCTACTCCCTTTGTCCTAGAATATAGTGAATTTTGAGTTGCCTAAGTTAAACTATTCTATTTTTCACCAAGTTTATAGGAAAAAAACAATTATGTTTATGATATCAAATGAGCATCATAGATACCTTATAAAATGGATATTTTAGTTTACCTCCTTGATACCATGTCAATATTTTTTTCGATAAACTTGGTTGAATTTAGAATGGTTTGACTTGGTATAAACTAAAATCCATTCTATTACAGGATAGAGGGAGTAAAAAATTAATCTAACTTAAGATATGTAGCTTGACTTAGGACAAATGATGGAGGAACCGAGGAAGTACTCTTAGGAAGTAATATATCATACATTTGCAATCCTATCCATCTAAATGGAGGTCCATGGTCGTGTCAGGTTATGTAGAAATCATCATATATGTTTGCCGTTCTGGCTAAGTATAGTTTATTAGTGAATTGTTAACAGTTTGTGATTTGAACGGGCTAAAAAAAATGTTGTCCACCAGACCGTCACCACCTTTGCTACAACCCCTCTAGCTAGCATCCACTGAAGACGGACTCAGTCAATCCCTCTAGCTAGCATCCACTGAATACCGACAGTTACTAACTGCCAAGTGCTGTGAACATAGAGAGTAAGTATATGTGAACAAGGAACAAGCAAGAACCATCGCTAGTCGAGCAGGGAAGAGCTAAACACCGATAATGGAGCAATTGCTTTCTTTCCCAGACGATGATAGATGCACCAGGACAGGCATATGCGGCCCCAAACTCATACTGCACGATATCCCTGACAAATACCAGCGCCTAAACTGTTCGTGCCCAGAGAGCTATGAGTTCTTGGATGCACAACACAGCTACAAGGGCTGCACGCCAAACTTTATCCCCTACATCTTTGACGGAAGGACCACTCCGGTGAGTTCAGAATAGTGGAGATGCCGACCACATCCTGGAGCACTGAATCCACATACAAGAAGTATGCATTACCACCAGATTCATCTCATCAGGAATGTAGCTCCTCCTGCTTAAACAGCTGCTTGTGCGCAGCTGTACTGATTGACGACAATAGTCGATGGAGGTATGGACGCTTACAGCCGGGAGGCAGGAAAGCGGCATTGCCATGAAGGCACTGATCAAAGTACGGCAAAGCATGCCCACCATCATCCGTGTATCACTGACAACCAAATTGCTTTACATAACAATCGGTGTTTTGGCAATTGTATCTGTGGTATCTATCATGTATAACCTATGGCAATCCTACGTGACAGAAAATAAGGCCAAAATGAGCATGTCGGGTCTCAGAAGCTTCACTTACAAAGAGATTAAACAAGCGACCGGTGGCTTCAAAGAGCTGTTGGGCAGAGGTGGCTTTGGTCATGTATTCAACGGGAGTTGAGCTATCTGGAGCCACCTTATGTTGCAGTGAAGAAGCTCATCAGATCAGACGAGTTCGTTGAGAAGGATTTCAACAACGAGGTGCAATCGATCGGCCAGATCCACCACAAGAACGTGGCCCGCTTGATTGGGTACTGCAAAGAAGGCGTGCATCGGATGCTGGTGTTTCAGTACATGCAAGGAGGCACCCTTGCCGACTTCATCTTCTGGTCAGAGAGACGACCGTGCTGGAGCTGCCTCACTGAGGCCACAATAGGCATCGCCAGAGGGCTCGAGTACCTACACGAAGGGTGCAAGTCTCAGATAATCCACTGCGACATCAAGCCCGAGAACATACTGTTCGATGATATACATACACCGACGATCACAGATTTTGGGATTGCCAAGCTCCTCGGAGACCATAAGACACAGCACACGGTCACCAGGATTGCTGGTACGAGGCCTTACGTCGCGCCCGAATGGTTTGATGGTGGGGGTAAGGTGGACAGCAAGGTGGATGTGTACAGCTTTGGTGTCATGTTGCTGGAGATGATATGCTGCAGGACGGCAGCAGCTGGGGGACAGCCTAACGACCAGGGTGAGAGCGCCACCATGAGAGCCTGGGTAGAGAGCTTGGTCAGGAGTGGGAAGGCCGAGCTCTTGGTGGGAGGGAAAGTGAGGCGCTAGCAGATATGGAGAGCATGGAGAGGTTCGCGCGTTGTGATATGGTGCTTGCAGAAGGAACCGTCGGCCAGGCCGAGGATGCGCAAGGTGGTACAGATGCTAGAAGGTACTGTGGAAGTCGACCTCTCCCTGACCTCCAAGGCCTCCGACCTTCTCTGCAATACTTTCCGCCGACGGCAGCGAGAGCCTCCCTCACTCGGCAGTCGCACTTGAGATCGATTGATCCATCCATCATATGCTATTATTATGCTATATGATATTATTATATTATGCATGCGTGGTCAACTTCTTATCCCACTCCCCCCTGTTTCTTTTTCTTTAAAGTTATAGCACATTTAGGACAAGTTAATTACTCCTACTTTGTATTTAAGTGATTAGCTTTACTAATATTTGTTTAAGAACGGAGGAAGTGATATCTTGGATGTCACTTTACTTCTTGTGTTCAGGAATATGGGATGTATGTATATGTAATAATCGAGTGCAGCTGTTGTATTATTACAATATTACTGCTGCATGTTTGCTCATCAATCGTGCTGTATTCTGTTCTATTGTATTCTAGGGGATGGGAGCATCAGTTCCAGACTTCCAATGTGATCTGATTATATTTTCGATTCCTGTGTCGATGTTCTCACATGTACTAATATGCTTGTGCTCCTAGTTTATGAATGCTTATGTTACAAAGAAATAGATCCTATATAGTATATTATTACATAGAAGAACGACCTCAGGCGCAAGTTAGCTAGGGATCCTAAGTTGATTATTACTCGCGAATTAATTATACAACCTAGGCCCTGTTCGGCTGTAGCAAACAGCCGCTGCTGCTGCCTGCTGCCTGGTTCGTTCTAGTGTTGTATCCTCCACCCGCTGGATGTCCATGGTGATGTGCGCATGGTGTAGGTTCATGGTTTTGCGCAAGTTTAAGCGGATAGTGCAGGAGACTGAGCTGTGACTGCAAAAACATGCCGTGTTTAGACCCTGCTATACTATAGACTCAGTATAGTTTCCTTTGCATCAGCAATGTTCAGTTCCTACTAAGTGGAGCATGCGTTCCTCTTCTGTTTCAACTATGCATAGTACAGCAGCACCTTGGACTTGGATATGTCAAAAGACTTGATTTCACCTCCTTTAGTGTACGTTACTTGTTATAAGGCATCCAACTTTATTTGCAACTGCACAGTTTTATGCTTTGTTCATATACTTGAGACGGCTGCTCCTGTTACTAATCATCCATTGGATTTGACCTGCCATACTTATCATAGTACTCGCGTTCAGTTTTCTGCCTGCAGGCCACTACACCAGCAATGTTGGGCGAAGCAGGTTCTGCAGCTGCAAGTCTCGGTCAGAGAGTGAAAGCTACTCTGGTTCTTGGAGCAGAATCATTTGCCGTCGGTCCTGAGTCTGGACTCCTGTCGGACTAGCTGGCTGCGATGAAGGAGAAGAGCATGGTGATCCTCAAGGAGTACGTCATCGCCAAGCATAATGCTCGAACGACGTCCCCGATGAGTCTGTAGAGGACGAATCTGATGGAGAGGTTGAAGATCTTGTCAGCAGATCAGGACTTGCGATATGGAATCCAGACGGAGTACATGTCTACTTCAGAACTTCAGTACGTTTGCATCAAAGAGCATTTCCATGCACCATTGAAACCTGATTAGTGACAATAGTGAGGTAGCAAAGCAGTGAGACAATAAAAGCTACGCACATCACAAAGGAGCTGCTGACAAACATTAGTCTGGTATCAATAAGGCAACAGTGACTGTAATCAAAGAAGCACCATGTTGGGAGTAAGAGATTTCAACCCACTCAGTAGATCGTGCAAACTATTTGCCCTGTACATTTTACATCATGGAAACTAATCACAGTAAGTCACAACACTGCAAAACTTCAGAATTGAGATTACCCAACATCACACTATTAAGTGCTTTAAAACTACATCCCTGGTGCTTTGCTACCATCGTGAACAAATAAATAGAAACCTAAATAAATGAAACACATACACAGCTAAACCCGGTTTCTAGGTATTGAAAGAAATCTCCAAGAGTTCTCATGTTTTGTTCAACATCCCCAGTCTTGGTTCCATCTCTCACTGGAAATGTTGAAAGTCCATGGGCAGCTTCTTCAGTTAACCCCAAAAATCCATCAATGATAACCTTACTGTACTCAGCTCTGATAAAATAGACCTCAAACCAGACGTTGCTGTGTGCTACAAAATCACTGCATGTCTCACTATGTGTTGGCACCACATTATTATCAGACAACACCATCACCATTTTGGGCATCACTTGATGTAACTTTCCGTAATTCATCAAGCACCTCCGAAAAATCATGTGGTGGGGGGCATGAGAATTCAAGGATCTTTCCTGAATGTGGATGCTTGAATCTGGGGGGAGAAAATGGTAATCACATTCCGAACTTGTTAAAACACAAGATACATGCTGTGTAATACCTACCCAAGCAATGCAGCATGAAGACATGGCCTGTCTACTTTAGATATCAGATTTGAAAGATCGCTGTGATATTTCAAGGAGTCCTTGGTCTCAAAAGCGATAATGCCATGCTTTTGGTACCTCCATAAGTTTCATCACCAAGAAGAGGGATCCTATATACTTTGCATGCGCCGGATCTGATAATCACTAAGTTCAAGATCAGTACAGAAGTAGTCATATTTAAGATAGTTTCCCAAGCTCCATAACAGAAATGCATTGAGATCAAAATTTAACTATCACAATGCTTCTTAGTGCTACTCTTGAATAAACAAGAGATGTAATCCAAATAACATACACGTTAGTAAATAGCCTAGGATCACAAAAGCTTTTTCCTTCTTTTAGAAGAACTTTAGGCGGTGATGGTTCTCTTCTAAAAAATTAAACTATCATGGGATGATTACCTGATGAGTGCGTCCTGTCTCTAATCTCCACTCCACTAGTGCAGATCCACCACCAGCAAAGACCTCTCTTACTTTGTACCTGTATGATTTTTTAAATAAGTTCCCTAAATGAGCCAAAGTACATATGAAACCATGAAACTTTTAAATCAGGTTGAAGTTCGGAAAATACTTAGTTTCAAGTTGCCTTTTAGAATCCAGCCTTTTGTACATGAATTTTTTTTGTTACTTTTCGCATGGCCGTGGCAACCCACTAGTGTAAATATAAACTCAATTTTCATGACTGGATTAACTAATTGGACATCATTACAACCTCTGACTGTTACACGGACCCTTCTAGGTCCTCATTCTTACCTGCTTACATGGGTGGTACTAGCAATTAAGGTGTTGAAACAGAATGGTTGCAGTAATTAAGCATATCTGAACAAGGTAAATATCTTTAAACTACATAATTAAGATCGTTATACTATACCTAGGATATATTTTTAATTCAAGCGAAATAGCATTGAGGAGGCAACGTCATACAACGAACTAAAAGAAATGGCACAAGTGGCAAGCATGGATCACCTACTAGCAGCATGCCGTGCATATCTGTGGCCTGATCCAGCAGTAGCAATCATACGAATCCTATTGTTAGGATCACGTGCAATAGATGCCTCAATCCTGCCAGAATTTGGATTCGGCATGCCACAAGTAAGACTGATGTATACTCTACGAATTGTATGCAGCTTGAACTGTTCTGCTAATTGAGCATGAGAATGGTCATCCTGTCCCAAAAAAGGAAGAAAAAGAAAAGGGGGAGAATTCAGCATAAGTCTGTAGTTATGTACTGCTACAAGCATGTGTAAATTTCATAAAACATTTTGAAGTTCCAGTTTTGTCACGGCTCATAATTAAATACCTTAGCAACAACAAGAAGTCCGCTTGTCCCCTTATCCAGCCTGTGCACAATACCAGGGCGCACAAGAGCATTCCGGACTTCTGAACTTGCGTCTTCAGTAGCAAATTGATCCACATTAAATACATCAATGTCTTCATCTGAAGAATCCGGGAATTCATCACCAGTTGAACTGCGCGCTAAGCAAGTAAATGTAGAGATCTTGCAGTGATGAAGAATAGCATTGACTAATGTGCCATTGGTGTTTCCTGGTGCCGGGTGAACAACCATATGAGCCGGCTTGTTGACAACAAGAACATGGTCATCCTCATAAACAATGTCTAGAGGGATGTCCTCCGCTCTCTGCCCTCAGCGGCTGTAGCTCTGACACCGTGCAGCTGACCAGGTCCCTCCCTTCACAGTATGCGAAACCTGCAATGCACAAAGTAAAGCAGAGCAGAGCAGCCTAAGACTCGATTTAGACACAAGAACAAGTATAATGTCTAACCAAACCAACAAACTACAACTACCATCATTAATTATCCATGATATACTAGTGCTACTAAACAGTACTAGATGTTAATATTATTGAGCTTGGCGCTGCATGACTTCATAGCCTTGTGAAATGTGAATTATTTCGGCGGTCTCTCCAAAATCAGATTGCAGTTTAAGCTACAAATTAACTGCAACTATTGTATAAGCACTGTTATTTCACGGTTCTGCTAGCACAAGGATCATCAAACTTTGCAGGAAGCAAACAAATCATAGAGGCAGAGGATAACAGTGGCACCTTGGAGACCGGGCGGCCATTGACGGCGACAAGCCCCGCGCGGATGCTGGCCTGCACGCGCGCGCGGTTGACGCCCCGCCGCCGAGACGCGCCGATATCCAGGCGTCGATCCGCGAGCGCCCCTCGCCGACGGGCACGGCCTCCTCCAGGCGCGTCCGGCCGTGGCCTCCCCTCCGGCTCTCCGCCGGCTCCGCCGCCTCCGCGCTCGCGTTGGAGGAGACGCATCTCGCGTAGAAAGCTCTAGGGCTGCCGCTACGGATCTTTGGCGGCGTATGAGGGCCGAGAGGGTGGTGGCGACAGCCGCCGGCGGTGGCGCCGTCGCAGCTGCCATTGGGCTGCGGACGGGGTGGACCGGTGGAGACGTGAGGACTGAGGGAGAGGATAGCGTGTGGGTAGATGGGCCTATTGTTGGGCTGACGTTGTCCAAAATGGGCGGAAGGTTCCAACGAATTTCTGCAGCGTCTGGGCCCAACTTTAAAACACGCTTAAGCCAATCGTCAAGGCTTTTGCTGGGCCATGTAGGTTCAGACTTCCACGCAGAGGATAGAGAGTGCGGGACGATGGTTTCGCAGCGTGGCCTGAAGAAGCATCTATGCCTTGGTCAGAAAAAGTAGAGGTTTGAGGAAAGAGAAGAAGATGTATGCGAGAAAAGATGCTTGTAGTATTGCACGGTTCTGCGTTTCTCGGGCGAGGCAACACCCTTATCCCTTTCAACTGCATGTCTGGGGACTTTGACATTTCACTCATCGTCAAAAAACGGGTTTCATTGTTTTACTATCTTCATAGTAGTTTCGCTTGTTTGTTATTATAAAACTGATCTAACCCGCTAAAATATATTTTAGATAGTTTTAATTCGTGGAAAAAAAGAAGACACCCTCCTCCCGCTTTTACCCCTGTCAGTCATCCAAACGGATCAAACACGAAACCAATCGGCCCTCTCCTCCATCCCAATGCAGATCACCAGCAGAGGGCTCGCCACCACGCCTCCCCTCCAGGTTCCTATCTCGTGTCCCCGGCAGCCGTGCCTGGCGATCAAGGCTTTCCCGGCCGAAGGCGCTCTCACGCAATGGCGCCCGACGGCAAAATAGCGGCCAGGCGTCTCGCCCGCCCCTCGCCGCCCTGCCCGGCCCGGGCCAGGTCCTCATGGCCTCGGCTGGCCTCGGTGGCGGCCTCGGCCCTTCCCCGGTGAGGCGTGCATCAGGTCAGCGCCTCGCGTGTTTGCACCCGGCGAGCCAAGCCCCATCTCCATGAGCTGCGTTTTTGTGTTTTCTATGTGTTTTTCTCCTCTCATGTTCGTCCTTTAATTGGTCGATTTAAGGGCATTTTTGTTCGTTCTTTTTGAGTCGATTCGAGCAAGGATATGTGCTGATCAAATCCCCAAGTGATTCAACTAATTTGGTACGAGCTCGTAGATCAATCCAATTTTCGGTTTAGGGTGAAAACCCCCGTTCTTGCCCCAAATCTTGCATTTCCTAGAGTTTAAGCTGAAATTGGGCGATGATCTCTTAGAGTATGCTCACCAACTCCCTTGTGATGGTCTGTGCAATGTTTGGGAGCGATTCGTTTTGATTTCGGCATCGGTTTAAATGATTTTTTGTGCCCGCCCTTCTCTCGTTGGTGCGCTCGTGTTCGCTCTGTTCTTGCGCTCGAGCTCCGGATGGCGCATTGGTGTGGGCTTGTTGGTCACCGTCTTGATCGGACTTCAAATAGCAGCAGAGGCTCCGCCGGCCTCAGTGTCGCTTTGGAGCCCCTCCGCCGTGCCCCTGCAGCCGCGTTAGGCAGAGTGCCGACCGGTGGCTTCTTTACGTTCATCGGTCTCCTGTGTTCCGGCCCCGAGCAAACCAACACAAGCAAGCGTGCTGCCTTTGGTGAGTTGGTCTTGTTGCTTTCATGGCCGAGCCAAAGATCGAGCGATCAAGACTGCAGTGCTTGCTTGCACCGAAATGTTCGCTTCGCTCTGAGCTCTGGCCGTCGTGGCCTTCTTGGTTCTGTGGTTATGCTTCGTTCAACAAAGAGGTTGGAGAGCAGCCCCTCCGCTTCTTTGTCAAGTGTGATTTCCTTTTGCCTGTCTTTGAGTGATTTGATTTTGTTTGGTCAAAAGCTTGGTTTGTAACACCCACAGGTGTTGTCACTAGTTAAGCTTATGGGTTTGAGCTCAAACATGATGATTGAGTGATGATGAAGATGTCAAGGTCAAACCTATAGAAATGAGCCCCAACCTAAACTTGGATATTGCACCTTGCTTTACATATAGGCCCTTGTCAAGATATATGCTTGGTTTGGTGTTATTGGAATATCTTTATGTGTCTTACATCAATACCCATTTATATTGATCCATGGAAAAGTTTTCGTGAAGTTTGGCATCAAGAAGTCACATGAAATGACAAGTTATGTCCTTGCTTGATTTAATTTATAAAGTGAATGGAATCCTCTATCGTCAAACAAACCTTGCTGCCTTGCCCAAATGGCTCTAATTGAACTCTACAACAAAAGTCATAAGGGGTTCATGTTGAGCAAGTGGCCAGAAAATGCTCCAATAGATCAAAAAAAGGAAAATTAAGCTTTACCGTGATGCTACTTTGATCGGTGTTGACCAATCACTTACAGAGCTTGCATGGAGTTGCACCTTAAATAAAAGTTGAAGTTTGAGTATTGTACAACAAACTTTGTTTTTTGACCAAGAGCCAGATCAACTTGGAACTAAGTCAAACCGAGGCTCAAACTCTGAATCTGCTGTTGTTTTCAGAGTCCAAAAATATTCTAAGTCCGAGTTAATCGCAACCTGAATTTTCAGCCGTGTACCCCACTTTAGGTCCTTCTATCTCTCTAACCAGGGCTAATTAGACTTTGAAGCTTTAATAAAAGTTGGAGCTCGTATGTAGATCTACAACTTTTATTAATAGAGTTTTTAGCTAACTCGTGTGGTTTAGGAGTTACTGGAGGTACGGGTATGGGTTTCATGGTATGTTTTGAGGTAGAATTGGAAATTTAAAATTGATGAACAGTGCTTATCCCAGTGCACCAGTGCCTGCAGTCGCGTGGCGCTCTCCCTCGCTTGCATGGCCGCCCACTCCTCCTTGTCGTGTTTCAGTAAATGACCCTAGCTCCCCTTCCTCTCCAATCTCTCCCCCCTTCCCTTCCTCTCCTGCTTCCACAAGATGGCACCATGTCACCGCCATGCCATGAACGCCGTGCTACCGGACTCCCTCCTCTGCCGCAAGCGAAGCTTTCTGCCACATTTCTTGCCCTCGGCCTCCCATGCCCAACTCAGCGCTCATGCCGTCCAACGCCACTCATCGTCGCCTCACCGGCCCCATATAGCCGGCCGCCATGTGTCTTGTCATGCCGCATGCACGTATGGACCATCCAGTTAATGCCTTGGCCAAGCCAAAGCCTGTCTTGGTCTTGCGTGGGCTGGGGCTTCTGCCATATACTTGACTGCCATCAGCCATTGTCCCTTCTTGAGGTCAAACGACGAGCTCCAGAACATCCTCTGCTGCAAATCCACGTCAAGGACTTCGCACTCAAATTCGAGTAAAGGGGAGGGCCTAAGTGCATAACCACTGACTCATATGAATAGTGCCGTTGAGGACCTTTTTTGTAGGAAATTTGCTGAAGTTTGGAAATTCATAGTAATTCATAGGAAATTCGTAAAATAGTAAATAAGGACTTTTTGGAATCCTTGTAAAATTTTCTATGCAGTAGATCTATAATATGACATGTTTTAGTTTAAATATTTTGTGGTAAAAATAGATTTATGCAGTAAGGTTGTAATGCTAGTTGAATTTGTTATTTTCCATAACCGCAGATCTATGGCTCCAAATGAAGTGAAATTTGTGGCATGCTACTCATGTGATAGTTGATGTGTGTTAAAAATTTCATGAGTATTGGATGAAGTATGAGTGAGTTATTGGTTTATCTCGCTCTCACATGATTTCTTACAATAGCAAATTGTCTTTTTCGTAGAGGAAGCTATACTTATGAAAATGGTATGAAATTTGTATAGTAGACTATTGAGAGGATATATGAGCTACTGTAATTTTTGTAGAATTTATTGTGCATTTTTGGTATATGTTCATAAATACACATTGATGTCTAAATAAATTAAGAAATGTTTTAAGAAAATTTATTTAGAGGTGAGCACCATGCTTTCTGGAGTTCTTTAGTCATGTGTGAAATGTTGGTAAAGTTGGTTTTCCCCAATTATGTGTTTGCAATATAAGTTAACAATTATTTTCCCATGATGTGGTTTATGGACAGATCTGGGAACTTAGCAAAGTTCGTCAAGATAATGTACTTTGTTGTGAAACTTGTTTATACAAAAGTTGTAGATAATTCATGTATCTAGCTTCTGTTAGAATGTTGTGGTATTTGGTCTTGTGGTTTGTGAGTTATGCCTGTTTAAAGTTGGGTTTCAAAATGACCGCTCTCTCTGTCAATTATGGACCAGTTTCTGTAAATATATAATTTAGACCCACTTAACTTGAGAATCATGCTAAGATGATTAAAGATGAATTATAGAAAATTCCATAAGCTTTCCAGAATGTCTTGTTGCATGGCTATTGGATTTGTATAACTCTAGTTATGATCCAAACATGAAGCTGTTGTTTCCAGTCCTAAAATAGACATATGCAAGTTGTGGTTGTTTACTCCATGTGTTGCTAAGTGTGGCTTATGCCCTTGTTGATGGTCAAGTTATGATGCTTGTGACCTTGTTAAACTTGTGTCATGCTTGATGTGCTTGCTCTCTATAGTTAGTTGTGTGATGTTAGTTAAATAGCTATTGGTGTCTATGTCTTGCATAATCTTGTGTTTGTCTTGAATGCTTATGTGATGCATCTTGTGTTACCATTCATCACCTTCATACACATGCATCTTGCATCTCATTTAGGTACGCTAGATGAACCACGTGAAGGATGTGATGTGGAGCCGAACTCAAAGATTAGGTTTGGTGGATCTATTCCGAAGATGGAAGGACTAAGCAAGTGCTAGTACCGGAGATGTCACCAAGTCGGTGCAAGCTAACTAAACTGACTTGTGTCGGATCCTAGGCAAGCCCCGGAGCATTCTAAGCCTCCCATATTTTTACAAATATCTTGAGTATCTTTTATTGTTGATGATGCATTAAGTATAGGAATTGGTTGGAACCAATTGTTGCATTATATCCCTACCTTGTCCAGATAAAATCCTGTGAATCCTAATTAAGTGTAGGATCGAATGATGCTTAGCTATGCATAGACCGGTAGAAGTCGGGTGATTTCCTGTCACCTGCGAGATGTAGGATGAGCTCTGGTCATGGTTGGCTATATTTGCTATCGTGAGAAAAGAACCATGTGTTAATAATGAATGGAGACCGGACGGGATGACGGTAGTGCAGCAACAAGGCATGGAGGTCTTGGGTGTGAATCTATCCCCCGTCTGTGTCATTTAAGGACCGATTCGCTGTACGTCCTCAGGTCATGTTGAACGCAGCCTAACACTTAGCTGGCCGGATAAGTCGTTCCGACCGCGAAGCCTAGTAGCTCGATTCAGGCCGGGGACGTGAGCAGTGGCGTGCACTCTAGAGGTAGTAAGGATGTGCGGAGAGCCATTGGCATAAGTCCAAGGTGGGTTAGAGTCCCGAACAACCTTGGCAGAGTGGTTCTCTGAGAATGTTGATATGTTCGGACTCGCGACTCTTGAATCGTACCAACGGTGACTTGTTTGCGACCCTGACGAGGGAAGCAGGGTTTGTGTTTAGAAATACCCCTCCAGCTGGATAGGAATCGATTCGAATCGCCGTCTCTTCCGGATAGTGAGAACTTGACTTGAGCAGCGGCAACGTAGATTCACTAAATATAAAGATATGGTTAAATGATGATGATAAGAATGATGATGAGCCATGAAATACCTGATATGGTTATTATTGTTTGCAACTAAATCAAATGGTTGATTAGTACAGGTGCTAATATAGATGGTAGGTAATGGCTAAAAGTCAATGCTAGTACAGGTGAATAATGGTAATGGTTACTCAAGCTTTTATGCAAAAAGGTTGTCCAGCAAGATCCACTGATAAAGCCTTGCATACTCTTTGATGTCATTTATTTTTGGTTTATGACGGGTAAGTCTGGCTGAGTACATTCGAGTACTCAGGGTTTATCCCACC